TAAAGTCCCTTCATGATGTCCGCGGAGTTTACTTTTCAGAATATTTGAATTGATTTGTATACTAGTGTAGTAGTGTGATTAAGTGAGCAAAACAGACCTTAGGTTTGGTAAAAAGAATATTTATTAAGGGTGCATGAGACAAGAAACCTTACTACCTGTTTTTCTGCGGCATAGCTTTGGCTTTGTCCATTGCTATTGGCGTCTGGAAACCCAGCTCTCAATAATCTACAAGACGGTTGCAAAAATTATAAAAGTATATTTCGAATCCTCTTGAATATATCGGGGGTGGCGGTAAAGAATTCTTTCGTATCAGGTATATAGAAACATTCTACATGTAACACTCTTAATTCAATTGTTGAATTTTTAACGAAATTATGTACAAATCGAACAATAAATTAACTCTCTTAATTTATTTTTTGAATATTTAAAGCAATATGAGCTGCATGTTTGACATCGGAAAATTCTGTTACAAATTTGTAATTAACTTTAAAATAGAACATTTATAAACTTCTGCTGTTCATATTTGCAATGGAAGAACTTTTTATAAGCTTTGATTGAAGCAAAATTGCATTATTGTCGTCCTGCACAATAATAATATTTTATATAATACTGTATATTCGATTGTACAGAAATATTTCTTCTGAAATATTTTTAAACTTTATTTTGGTCTTATTGATCAAAAGGGCTTAAATTTAATACAAATTTATCATAATAATACATTTTACCAGAAAAATAAAATTCTCAAAAATGCAGCTCATATTGCTTTAACGAAATTAAATATACAATCTAACAATAAATTGACTCACAATTTTATTTCTCTTTCTCGGACCTGCTGAAACAGTTCTTCCACTGATAGCTCCTGTTGGCTTTGTGTTTGTGTTATTTGGTCTTTTCTCGTGACTTCGTTTGCTTCTTTTGAGAGTACGGATTCCTTTTCTCCCGGTGGTGTAACTGCCTTTTCTCCTGTTGCCCCTCCTCTTCCTAACTCAATAGGTGCTTCTGCCCTCGGAAGCAAAGCCCCCTCCTCACGTGGGGGTATGGTCACCGCTTCTTCTAAGCCTCCCCAAAGGTTTCTGTTTCATAAATTGAATAAATACAAACATTCTGTTACGTTCATATAATTTCATGTTAAAATAAAAATATGATTTCCGTATACATTAACAAGTACATGTATATAAATTCCTATTTTCATACATAACAGACTGTATTTATGCCTTATTTTAAATTTTCAATTATACTGTTTATATTATACCTTGCAATGATGGAATTCCTGTCTAAGGTCTCAACCCCTCTCTTCACATCGTTTTCCTTTTGCTTTGGAAAAATAAAAAAAATCATTCACAATTTATCTATATTTCACAAAAACAAGAAAAACATATGCTTTATTTTAATTTTTTAAAAAAAATGAGTATATGACTCAGGTCGACAGGAGCACGTTTTCTCTTTTATAAACGTAATTGTGAACAAAATGTCTCTTTAATTCCAGAAATGTGGACGTAACTTGAGGAAAAAAGGGGGTAACCGGTTGAAAATAAAAATAAAAACTCTTAAAACAAATAAAACTCTTCCTGTTCGGTTTCAAAATACGCATTGGAATAATCTGTTTATTTTAACAAGAAGCTTACCTCCATAATGGAAATTCTAAGTGAAGATTAAAAAAATAATAATTGTAAAAACTCTTCTGACAGCCAGAAAATGTATCAATATTGATGACGTCACAATGAAATATATTACTCCGCTCGCTAATCATGACGTCAAAGAGCGCAGTTTAGTATTCCATAGTTACATGTACTGCGCAAGACAATATAGTGATTTTTTTTTTTTTGCTAATACTTTTCATTCGTAGAATTAAAATCAATATTATATTATAAGATCTATCTTCAATAAGAAGTGCGTCAGTAACAATAAATCACATCAAACTCAAGCGCAGATATTTTCTAAGGGAAAAGGAGGGGGGATCCTAAACGAACTAACTTTTTAAGGGCTGTCAAGCGGCGGATCCATGAATTTCATAACGGGGGGTGGGGGTGGGGGGCTGTGGTAGAAGGTAGGGGGTCTGGGGATGTATTGAAGTTCCAATATTAAGTGGGTCCAGGGCAAAGATCTGGTAGGGGTATATATGGGGGCTTTTTGCCCCGGAAAACTAAAGTAATTCCAACAAATAAGAGGTGTTTTACATTAAATTGATTTTAGGATACCAACAAAATTAAAAAAAAAAAAAAAAAATAGGGGGGACCCTGGATCCGCCTTTGCTGTCGGTCTTATAGGGATCAAATCCTAAGTTTAACAAAGGAATTAACATTTGAAAGCTGAAATCGAGATAAAAATGAAAACGTCAAATCTCAATGGCCCGGAGGCTCAGATTCAGATTTATTGAGTAGAACCCCCCCCCCCCCCTTGATATGCGCATCTTTTTTTATATTCGACGGATGTACAACAAATAAAATATTTGATAAGTTCTTACGTATATAATGTATTTTTCTCTTTTTAAGGCTTAAAGCATATGAAAGAATAATCGCTTCTGCGGGGATACAAGGGCCTATCGATGTACATTACATATTTATTAGTCCTCATATGAAATTTTGCAAATTTATCATATATAGGGTCAGGGAAAAGAAGTACGAATATTGCAGTTCTATCTGAACTAGGTAGACAACCAATATTTTATTCTATTATTGTAGCAATTACATGTATATCTTACTGGCACAGACTGGAAAACATTCATACTCTTTGTTATACAATGCATAGAAAGAAAGCATTATCTTGGACAGTACTGTTGTATTGTAAATAGTTGGTTTTCAAATGTAACATATTTCTGTAAAACAAAAATGGGCATAGATTGGTCAAGATGTAAATCAATGAAACTAATAACTTTAAAGAAACAACTGAAAAAAACTATTAGAGAGGATTTCCTTTGAACAATGTTGGCTTAAAAAAGAGATGATGGTTGTCTATCGGGTAAACTTACATCATATTGCTATGTAAAAAGAAGTTTTGAAATTGAAAAGTATTTATTATTAAAAAAATTAGAAGAAAGAAAAATTATATGCAAATTTAGAGTAAGTTCACATAATCTCAGAACTGAAAGTGGAAGATATGAAAAAAAAAACTCTATAGGACAGCAAACCACCCTTGCAAGAAATGAAAGAATTTGTAGAATGTGTGACATGTCATGAACTGTGTGGAAGATGAGATCCACTCACTGATTGAATGTCCATTACATAAACATGAAAGAGATGAATTTTTAAAGGCTAATAGTATTGCTAAAAGTAATAAAAATTTCGATACTTTAACAAATAAAGAAATTTTTTTATGGATTATGTCTAACGAAAATGACATGTTGCTTATCAAGCTGGGTAATTTTTTAATCAATATCTTTAAAATATGAAATAGCGAATTATGCAATGTTAAAAAAAGAAACAAATAAATGCAAAAGAGTAATAATGTTTATACTCTAGTATAAAAGCCTTATTTGTACAGAATGTCGATTATATATGTTGTAATCCCCAACTGCTGTATCATCATTAATCTTTTGTTAGTTGCTACTATCAATTTTGAATTTCTTCTAGTATGTTTTTATCTTTACTTGTATGCTTGGACGGACAGACGGACAGACGGACGGACGGACGTACAGACGGACGGACGGAATTAACGATTACTATATACCCTCCCGCTTTTCAAGCGGGGGGTATAATTATATCTATATATAGATATGACAGTGTTTATATAAAACGTTTTGTTGCTGCTATAAATGTATGTACAGCTTCAAATATTTGTATATTAATGTCAAGTCCATGGTTAGAACTACCATTTAAAAATAAATCACATTTGATAACATAAGATTTATTAAATATTAATACATAAGTGATTATAATAAGTGAAACCTGTCTAATCCGACATGCACTGGGAGACAAATTTTGTATGGAAATAGACAAGGTGTTGGATTGCACAGTGTTAAAACATGCATGGAAAAATAGTAAACTGGGAAAGAAATTAAACCTTGGAATTCACAGTGTGTCGGATTATTCAGGTGTCGGATTAGACAGTTTTCACAGGTTTGTACCAAAATTGGTACAAACCAGTGAAAACTGGTCCGTCTGTACGTCCGTCCGTCCGTCTGTCCGTCTGTCCGTCCGTCCGTCTGTTACGCTTTGGGGTACCCATCTCTTATCCGCAACTCCTCTCATACCACTGAATGAAATTTGATGAAACTTTCACAGAATCTTTATTACATATTGCCATTGTGCACCTCTCTCTTTTACTTTTTGATCGGACACATATTTTGGGTTTCCCGGCCACAGGAAAACATGGACTTTTTCACCAGTTATAACCATATGGGAGGCGGGGGGTATCATTTAGTGAGCTCATCGCTCACAGTACCTCTAGTTTTTATTTGTTAGAAGTACTCCCAAACCGGTACTACTTTGTATTTTGTCTCCCCCTGTAATTTTCCCTTTTTGTTATTTTGTTCATTCTATTTTTCTCTTTTGTTTAATTTTCTACATATGACTTTTTCTGTTTTTTTTTCTCTGTTACTTTGTTCAATTTTGTTTGTGTTTTTTTTCTTCTTTTGTACATTCTTTTAATATCACTATTTGTTCTGTACCTTGACCTAAATGTAGGGAGAGGGCTAAAATAGGCTGCGCCTGCTGCCCAATCCTATTCACGACAACATCTGTGAATAAAATATTGTTTAAAAAAAAAAAAAAAAAAAATCTTATGTTATTTATATAGGCCTATTTTGGTTGACTTCTCGATCGGAGCTTCAATCATTTTATTTTTGCAGAAAGAAGAATATTTTCTTTTGAGTAAGAACAAATTTCTTCCCGGATAAACGCTGTTTTGATAAGACCAGTTCCAAGAGAGCTGAATGGTTTCAACTAATCAACTTTTAAGCTGTTATTACCGTTTACAGTACATATTGATAATGAAAATCAGTTTATTTATTTTTTGTTTGAAAAGAGGGAGGGTACATAGTAATCAGTATGTCCGTCCGTCCGTTTGTACGTCCGTCCGTCTGTCCGTCCGTCTGTCTGTTACGCTTTGGGGTACCCATCTCTTATCCGCAACTCCTCTCCCAGCTAACACAAAAACATTTTTAAAATGTTTTTAAAACATTTTCAAAATGTTGCAAAAACATTTTAAAAAATGTTTTAATCACGTAATTTTGTATGGTTTTTTAAACGTTTTTAAAACATTTTAGTGAGATATTTCAGCAAAATGTTGTCAGAACATTTTCTTAAAATGTTGCAAAAACATTTTTAATAATGTTTTAATCACGTGAATTTGTATGGTTTTTTAAACGTTTTTAAAACATTTTAGTGAAATATTTCAGCAAATGTTTCCGGAACATTTTCTTAAAATGTTGCAAAAACATTTTTCAACGATGTTTTAATCACGTGATTTTGTATGGTTTTATAAATGTTTTAAAAACATTTTTCAAAATATTTCAACAAATGTTATCATAACATTGTTTTTAAATGTAACAAAAACATTTTCAAAAATGTGTTATTCACGTTTAATTTGTTTGGTTTTTAAAACGTTTTCAAAACATTCAAGTCGAGGTTACAAAAGTATTTCCTGAATTTTTACTTTTTCTCATTAAATAATGATATATTTATATTTTAAAAGAAATAAACACAAATTATATTTAATTTTTGAACCTTTAATACAAACCCATATTCAATATGTTAATCATATTTACATTCCATTCTCGGTACAAGTTTTAATTTATTTTCTTTCAAGTCACCGGGTTTTTAAAGGTTGAAAACGGCGTCTAATCCATTCACTGAATTTTTGAAAGAACAGAATCACAGATATTCTATGTTCACTATATAGGTAGAACAGAGCGGCGGATCTATAAGACTTAGTTAGAATCACATACACTGAAAAGGCTGATAAGGAATTTGCCCCTCGGAAAGAATAGCACAATCTGTAAAGATAAGGAAAATTGTGTTTGTATCAGCGTTCTGTATCTAATGTATCTTAAGATGATCAATGAAAATAAACAAAAAATATTTTAAATAATTATATCAAATTTAATTTCTTTCCTCATTTGCATTGAAAAAAGCAGAAAAATAATTACTATGACAATATTATTGAAGAGTAATAGTATTTACGTACACATTTGCCTTCACCAAAGGCGGGTCTTTTGAACGTGGGAATTTGAAAATACGGATGATGCAACCAACACCATGCTGTAAAGAAATTTCATTTTTAAATCAACATATCGTTTGATGATTAACATTTCACAAAGACAACGAATGCTTGAATCAAGGATATAATTGTGTTGCCTTAAGAATGAAATATTCAAATCAAATACATGTATATGACCTTAACGCTTTGTCATTGCTACATACATTTGTACAAAGTTATTGATCATGCACTGGTAGTATAAAAGCCATTTTAAATGATCTTTTAAAGTCTATGATAAAGGAATAATTCTTACCATTCAAAGTTAATAAATCCAGAGGTTATTATTGTGGTTTATATGGTGCAAAGTCTTCTCATTCAAATCGGCACGGAGTAAGCGCGCACATCTTGTTTACCAGAATTCAAAATTTGGCCTAGATAAGCAGCAAACCACTATACTCTGTAACGCGCTGCCCAGCAGGAGAATTGCATAATAGGTTATCATGACACTGAAACTGACCAGTGTGCCAATCCCTATCTAATGCCTCAGAGTAAAATTCTGGGAGTGGATCACAGATTTGATGAAGAACATTTTTAAAAAAAGACATTAAGAGTTTTATTTAATGCGTAGTATGATTTTATACATTTATTTATATTTTAAATTTTTTTGTTTGCCTATCCTTTCATTTATTGATTTTTTAATTTGTTTAATCAAAGGACTTTATATAAATTATGTCTGTTTAATCAATAAGCCAAAACTAGAAATCATTATAAAATACCGGAAAAATCTTTCAATTTAACAATTACTACAATTCCTCATTTTAACACTATTCTTTCTATATATTCTTTTTTTTCTTCATAAACTAAATTTTAAAAAGGAAAATCGCAATCATACATTATTTGAATGTTTGAAGAACATTTTGAAAATAACAGCAGCACTGAAAAATGAAGTCTTTAAAAAAAAAGAAAACACATTAAATTGAATGTTCTAAAATCATTCTCACAACATACTCTTAAAGTTACTAAATGAATTAAATTGTGTCGCAATTACATAAATGTTTCAGAAACATTTTGAAAATGTTTCCAAAAAATGTTACAAAAACTATAATTAAAATGTTTCAATTGTAGTGAAAATAATTATTTTAGTTAATGTAATTTTAAATAAACAATTTCACTGCCTAGGCCGAAAAATACCCGGAATTGAATGTTTTTAACTAAAAGCGATATTAAGAATGTTTTAAAAATATTTTTAAAATGTTCCTTACAAATATTTCAGAAACGTATATGCAATGTTTCCGATTTACAGAAAAAGAATGTTTCTTTTCATGTTTTAAGAACGTTTTTAAAACGTTTTATAAGATCTTTAATATTTGGAAGCTATAAATACCCTTAAATGAATTAAGAATGTTTCAAAAACATTTTTACAATGTTCCTTTTAAATGTTTCAGAAACGTATTTATGCAATGTTTCAGATTTATGGAAAAGGAATGTTTCATTTCATGTTTTTAGAACGTTTTCAAAACGTAATATAAAAATCTTTGATATTTGAAAGCTAAACATACCATTTGAAACATTTTTAAAACGTTTCAAAAATATTTTAGAAAAATGTTCCAAAAGGATTTAATAATAAGCTTCTTGAAAACATTTTTAAAATGTTTTTAAAATGTTATAATGAGAAGAGGAAGTGTTTTAAAAACGTTTTTAAAATGTTTAGTCTGAAATGTTTCGAAAAAACCTTTTTACAACACCAATAAAATGTTTTGAAAATGTTTTGTGCTACCTGGGCTCATACCACTGAAGGAAATTTAATGAAACTTTCACAGAATCTTTATTACATATTGCCATTGTGCACCTCCTATTTTACGTTTTGATCTGACATATATTTTGGATTTTCCAGAGCAAAACATGGACACTGTCATTATATTCATATGGGAGGCCGGGGGTATCATTTAGAAATTGCTCACATGCAGTACCTCTAGTTATACCCCCCGCTTGAAAAGCGGGAGGGTATATAGTAATCGGTAATTCCGTCCGTCTGTACGTCTGTCCGTCCGTCCGTCCTTCCGTCTGTCCGTCCGTCCGTCTGTTACGCTTTTGGGTACCCATCTCTTATCCGCAACTCCTCTCATACCACTGAATGAAATTTGATGAAACTTTCACAGAATCTTTATTACATATTGCCATTGTGCACCTCCTATTTTACTTTTTGATCCGACACATATTTTGGGTTTTCCGGCCACAGCAAAACATGGACTTTGCCATTATAACTATATGGAGGCGGGGGGTATCATTTAGTGAGCTCATCGCTCACAATACCTCTAGTTTAATTAAAGATCGGGCTCGGGGTTTATTATGTAAAATCAAAGATGGCAGCGCTCTTGTCGAATTGTGTTCGGGGATGTTGCAGAATTTCACGGTATATATTGGGTTAATAAACGCTTAATTTCCCAAAATATATATGGGGAAATTATTTTTTTAATTTTATGTTTAATTATTTCACAACATTTTTTGAAGAAATATTTTTTTCAACATTTTTAAGGACGTAGAATCTTACGAAATATGACCTTACACTAGATATTCATGCTATAGGCCTATGTGTATATTGACACGCCTTTTGTCTTGAAAAAAAAAAAACTTCTTAAATTGTTAATTTGAAGACATGTTTTAAAATACTGGAATAAGTAATGTATTGGTTCAACTGCCATTTATTTATGTTTTTTTAAATTTTTTTTTCTTACACAAACCTATGTCTTTTTGAAGAGTTTGTAACAGTTGTTGAGCTTGCTCAGTTTTAAAACTGTATGTATGTCCTTTATAATCTTCTACATGGTCATTCATTCATAATACAAAGAACTTCAACTTGACTAAAGTCTCAATGAATTGAGGTTCATTATTACTAATTCTACATGGTAAGTTTCAGAAAGAAATACTGTATACAGGGTTATTTTTGCCCTGTTTTATTTTGTCCTTTCACACTTGCAACCAATTTTGCCTCGATTTAAATTCCTCAGTCACCGTTTTGTTTAAGAAAATATAATGCATATATTGAATTCGCCCCTTTTTAAATTCGCCCAAACGATGGAAGGGCGAAAGGGGCGAAAGTAAAACGGGGGCGAATATTTCCCTGTATACAGTATTCTAAAGATTATTTTTAAGCAAAGAAGAAGGAAATAGAGTAAAAGAAACCAAGTTTGAGCCTCACTCTAATCCGTCACTCTAACAGCATTTGAAAACAAACATTTTTTTTAAAGAAGGCATAAGATGGTATTTTGTAAAAGTTTGAGTGAGAAATCTTGCAATTTTACATCAAGTTTTATTTTAAATCTTTGAGTTTAAAATGAAATATGCTATTATGCAATGGTACCTGAAGTTAATTTCATTTGAAAAATGGTATATTCTTTGTTGGGGGAATTGATTTTTTTGTTGGCACTTGAAATATAAATTTACAAATTGTCTCTGAGGCCATCTTTAAAAAGTTGTTTGGGTGCCTCTCCCAAATGACTGACCAAAATGTGTGCCCAATTCAAAACTTTAATCTTACATTCCAGGACACAATATTTTTTTTTTATTCCTCTTATCCCTGCAACGAATACCTTCCTATCAACCTAATAGTTTTATCCTGAGTTGGCAAGCAAACATTTTTTTAAAAGATGGTCTGATGTAGATAAATTATTTTTTTCCAGAGGAAGAAAACCAAATTTAAGAAGGTTCTCGACAACACAACACAGACTTAAAGATGAGGACACTCCATTGAGTGAACCGCTGCCAGAATTTCCTCAGCTGAAATACGCCACTGCATCACCAGAAACATATGACACCCCAGTCACAACCCTGGAGAACGGACTCAGGGTGGCATCACAGAAAGTGTTTGGACATTTTTGTACACTAGGAGGTAATGTCCTAAATAACATGAGAATTAAATTTTGTACTGGTAAATAAAGAATGAAAAATGTCTATGTAGGAAAGGAAAGGGAAAGTCTTTTTTTTTTTTGCCTAACTTTTTAAACTCTTTCTAATAATATAATGCACAAATAACACATTCCTTGACACAATGTACATGTTGCTTTAAATCTTTTGTGATTATTTTCATGAATATATATTTTGTTCATGTTGATATGCATCCAGAAATTTTATCAAATGTAAAACTATGCATTATTACAGGAAAATCAATAGAGAAATAGATTTTGCAAAAATGAATTCTCATTTGATTTTCTGGCATTGAAGCATTTACAGTTTTAAAACAGGTAGATAATGCCTTGGCTTCATTTTTTTCTTAACTATTTTTTCAGTTTTGATTGATTCTGGCAGTAGATATGAAGTAGCCTATCCCAGTGGTATTTCACATTTTATCGAAAAATTAGGATTTTGTGTCAGTATATTTTTATCCTTGTTCGTTTTACTTCTGTTTTTACTTCAAATTTATCTTGATTTACTAGGATACTGTTGTAAATGAATTGATTTATGTAACTATGTTTTCTTTGGCAGTCAACGACGAAATACAGGAGCAATGATGAGATATTACAGGTTTTAGAACAATATGGCGGAGTCTGCGATTGTCAGTCGTCAAGGTCAGTCAGATAGAGGTTATATTTATAGTAACAAAATGTTTGTAGAGACTACAAATCAAATAAATTTCATGCTCACAATAAGGTTCCTATTTTGTACAAGTAAACAAGTACTAAAAATTAAATTATTTACTGGGTAAGCATTAGATTTTAATGATTAAGCTAGTTCAGCTGTTTTTGGAAATAAACTATATTTATTATGATTTAAATTATTATATTGCAAATATGACGTCATTAATGTGATGCATTTTAATACCATACAGTACTATGGTGTGAGACTGTTGAGTATCTAAAAAATGCTGACATCTTAGCATTATAAGGAGAGAAGTCTTATGGTCTCAGTTTTTAGGTTGAAAACTTAGCACTAGCATGATATTGATTTTATATTTAACTCTGATTTTTACCAGTGTTAATTTATCTATTGACATGTATAAATTGAGATTTGTCTTAAAATGTATTCTATAAAAGTATATTTTATTCCAGGGATGCTCTTATATATGCAATGTCAATTGAAACAGAAGGCTTAGAGAAGGGACTAGATATTTTGTCAGAAGTGGCAATGAGACCAGTCATCACAGATGAACAGGTGTGTATAACAAAGATTGTATTTTTCTGGCACCTCCTGGACTTTATTCATAAAAAATAGTTGACAGACAACAGGAGATTCAGCAGCATAAAACTTAATGTATATTTAAATTAAATAGTTGTATAAAATATGAATTTTTTGGAGTTGTTTCTTGCAAGCAACTTTTTGAATGTTTTTTTCTTTATTCTTATAATGTGTTGTGCATGATTTTGTTATTGTAGATGGTAACTATTTACAAAAACATTTATCTGTTTGCAGATTGACTATTGTAAAATGGCAGTAGCATTTGATCTTGAAAACATTGAAAGCAGTCCACAGCCAGACGTACTCATGACAGAATTAATACATGCTGTTAGTAGTTTTGCCTCTTTCTCATTTCTATATAGAGTATCTTCCTCTTTTCTTTTCAATACTTTCACTGCAAATATTTATACAAATGATCAATTTTATAAGTTTTTTAGAGTTTTCTATAACATAGACCTTGTTGATTGTCACTTCTATGATAAGCTGAAGAAAAAACAAGGATACTTTGTGCTTAAATTAAGTTATACTTAAGTTTAATCAAGAATCATGTTACTCTATTTTCTTGGTTTCATGTTTTCAGATAAAAAAATTCCACCTTAATAGTAAATACATTTAAATTAACTGTAATGGAGCTTCATGCATAGTTGTATCTTGTATTATTTTGCAGGCTGCTTATCGAGACAACACATTGGGTCTTCCAAAAATTTGTCCCAAAGAAAACATAGACAAAATAGACAAAGAGACACTGTATACATTTATGAACAATTTCCACGACCCCTCCAGAATGGTTCTTTGTGGGGTGGGGGTGGAACATGACCGGTTAGTGGAGCTTGCCAGGGAACTCTTTGTTAAGAAGACACCCCTCTGGAAAGAGGATCCATCCCTGGTAGATCACAGTAAATCAGTGGATCATTCTGTAGCTCAGTACACAGGAGGAAAAATGTTGGTATGTAGTCAGAGATGAGGGTTTTTTTTGTTTTTTTTGTTTGTTTGTAAATATGCATATAAAAGTTGGGATGTGTGTTTCTGAATCAGAATTTATTTATGTTATTCTGCATTAAATATTTGTCAAATAATGTACAGTACCAGAGCTGACAGTCATTTTAAGTACATATATTTCTTTAGTAACTCAGTATTTCTTGATACAGAATATACGTGTCTCATTCTTATTAACTATTTGTCACTAAAATTTATCCTTAAAAAGGTTTTATAGACCCCATATTTATGCTTTATTTTTATTTTACTCTTTGTTCATAATGTTAATCCCATGGTGTTTACCTTATTTTTCAGATTGATAAAGACCTGTCCAGTGTGAGTAAGGGACCTAATCCATTCCCCGAGCTGGCCCACTTAGTGCTGGGATTAGAGAGCTGTTCTCACAAGGATGACGACTTTATAGCTTTCTGTGTCCTTAACATGATGCTGGGGGGAGGGAATGCTTTCTCTGCTGGGGGACCAGGGAAGGGGATGTATACCAGACTCTATACCAATGTACTGAACAGGTATGAATTAGCAAAGGCTACTTGTTAAAGAAGGCAGTTTAAATTTTTTTATATTTGAAGAATTTGATATTTGTTGTTCTTATGGTACAATTACTTATGCTCTTCGTGTATAAATATTTTTAGTTTTGAATTTATTAAATTAACATTTCTGTTTCTTCTTCAACCATAAAATCAGAAGGCCATGATTTGGTAAATTATTAAGTTAATTCAAAACCAAGAAAATTTGCCCAGTTGAAAACAAGATAAATATGTGTATTGATATGTTTTTATGTAAAACCTCATGATGTATTTGTTTATTGGTTCAAAATGCACGAAACAGTATGTAAATATGCATGTACTGCAATATTAATGCTGTATTTCAGACACCACTGGATGTTTGGTTGTGTTGCCATGAACCACGTGTATGATGACTCAGGGGTCTTCTGTATTATGGCTAGTTCTCATCCTAACCAGGTAACCAGAAAGTTTACAAGCATACATACTTTGTAACTCTGTTTGTTATACAGGGACTCTATTTTGTAAATACATTATCATTGAGGGTTAAGTTTTAGATAATATACTCAAGTATTGATAAATATTTTGAAAGTTGTGCACACCATACTAAAAGTGTTGAAAGTATGACAGTCATATATTCATGTTACAATGCAGTTTTTGTATCAGAATACTCAATACAGTGTAGTCAAGTTCATAGAATTGTCATGGCTTATAAACACTTTCTTATTTTATCATTCACTCTAAGTCTACAACGTAATACAGTATAAACTTTATTGATGGTCTTGAATGAAGTTTAGAAAACTTGTACATCTTTCTTTCAGTTGGATGACTTAGCAATAGTAGTTTTATCAGAGTTTCTAAGGACTCCAGAAGAAATAAGCAAGGTTTGTAAATTTTAGTTAAGATTTTGTATGCTTAATTTTTAAGCCTGCAGCCTAAGTACATGTAGTAATCAATATGAAGCTGCATGTCATTTTCTAGTTTTAAGCAATAAGTCACATGCGTATGTGTTTTAAATTGATGAATTTTTATTATAAAAATTTAAAGTAATTAATGTGTAAAAATTGACTCCTCAGGAGGAATTAGATCGTGCCAAGAAGCAGCTGCAGTCCCTGCTGATGTACAACCTGGAGTCTCGTCCTATGATGTTTGAGGACGTCGGGAGACAGGTGCTGAGTCGGGGATTCAGAAATCCAGCTCAGTTCTACCTGGAAGAAATTGGTGGGTCATCAGTATTAGAAGTACAGTAAAACTCGGTTATAACGAAGTCATCGGGACCTATGAAATGACTTCCCTATATCCGTAATTCATTATATCTGTATAAGAAATTTGTTAAATTTATATAGCTGGGGATCCAAGATAACTTCGTTATATACTTGACTTCACGATATCGGTGTTCGTACTAACCAAGTTTTACTGTATTATTGTCATTTACTGGTGTGCCTAATTTATTCTGATGTGGACATATCTGCATAGATTTTTGAAAAGCAAGAATCACGGTTGTGAGATTTTTACACAAATGTTAGTTTTATACATGATTTCAGTGTAAAGATGATTTCAGAAAATTTGGATGACACATGAGATAAGCTTCATATGAAATGAAAGGCAAAATAGGTTCTATAATATTCACTGATATGTGGTTTTATAGAAATATAACTTCTATACATGATCATTTGTAAAGCAAACTTTCTTTTTTAAGTTGACAAACTGATTAAGATTTTGAAATTGTTTTTAGTTCGAAGCTTTTGGAGACGCATATAAAAGTTGTATATGAAATGACAGACAAAACGATGATTAGTTCTTTAATGTTTCTCTAATTCTTACAGAGAAGGTAACAAGAGAAGACCTACAGCGTGTAGCCAAGAGAATGCTTCGTTCTAAACCAGCGGTAGCCGCTTATGGGACATTAGACAAACTGCCACCCTATGAGAGATTTCAGGAGATTCTTGCCAATGGAGCCATAATGAAAAACAAGAGAAGATTTGCATCTTTCTTCAAATAAGTTTTAAATACAGTGAACTTCCTACAAAAACATATACAGTGCTTATTATAGGACAAACATGCTTCATACATTGTTGGAGGAGTTCGATTTTCTACTCCAGTATTTTAGCTGTGTTACATTGTAATTGTTATAGACATGTTCATACCATGACGTGATATATTTGGTAGATAATACATACATGTAACAAAACACAGCTGATCACATGGTTTTTGTGTCATGTTTACATTCGAGTGTTGATCATGTCACGGGTCTCCCGATCTCAGGGAATAATAATAATTCAACACAGTTCCTCAATAAAGGTTCATATATTTATTAGCTGACAATTACGATGATGAAGTATAAACGAACGTACGAATGAAGGTGACCTGCAATGAAAATGACACACTCGTACAAATTCACACACACTAATATTTATTTAATTTCAATAGTTTAAAATAAGAATAAGACTTAATATTAATTCTTACCAGTCACATCAATTAAGGCACTAAGATTCCGTAAGGAATTTCTTAGACAAACTGCTCACGTGGATTTCTCGCAGGAGAACATCCAAACTATCGTCAATGTATCGTCAATATTAAAAAGGAATAGTCCGTGCATAAGTATATATACCAGGACTCACACATGCGTACATAACTACCACACCCCATACATACTAGTTTTACAACTCACACCCAGGATAAAAATAAACCACAAGACAATCACGTGACAACCAAACACTCACGTGAGACGGAACACCGGACAAACCAGAATACAATACAAACACGATGACAATGAATGACCAGGTATGAATGAATGAATGAATGAAAGGAATTTACTACAGCTATCTACTATACTGACTTACTATACCAGCTGTACTAAATAATTAAACTAAATAAAATAAAAACAAGTAATTGTCACCCTGTGACATTCTCCCCCTCTTTAATAAAATGTCTCCTGACATTTCTTAAAGAGAATACTCTACTACTAAACTTATCTACACTAACTTAAGTCTTATCAACACTAAGTAACTATCAAATAATAAGACTTAATGACTAATCATAAAATTATGAACTACAATATACACCATACATAATTAACTAAGTCACTGTAAGTGAAATCTTAAGTTAAATCATAGTAGTTCTATCCAAGATGAAATAAAAACATAACATAAAAACAACATATTAAATCTATATACACACATCCTGATTACCTGTGACGTTCTCCCTATTATACATACCAAATCTGGGTCTCTATGGGAGATACCCAGGAACCATACCTATCTGGTACTTTCTTGGTTCTGGCAGACCTGCGGGGCTCTGCTACTACATTAGCTGGAATAGATGGTTCCATGTGGGTTAACTTTATACTTTCGCTTGTTGAAGTCTCCCTAGTTGATGGCTCTGTGCGGTTCAGTGTTGTATTTTCTCTAGTCGATGCTTCTCTATTTGATAGTGACTTGGATGACCTTGACCTATCTGAAACACTAGATATATACTGTTTAGGTTTGACTCTTTTATGCCTTACCAAAACTTCCTCATCCTCAGATTCGGACTCTGTCTCTGATTCTGCAACTTCCTGGTCTGGTACTGCGTTCGGGACCCTGTTATCTGAATGTTGATCTAAATTCGAAGATTTTGTAATGCACATAAAAGGTAATAAAAGATTCCTATGTAATGTTCTAATTTTTCCTGATATCTCATTTTTGACTCTATAGACTGGGATGTTTGAAACAGGCTGTTCTATTACCATGTAGGGATCTCTCTCCCACTTATCAGCTAATTTTGATCTACCAGAAAATACTAATGTTCTTACCAAAACCCTATCTCCAACTTCTAATTTTTCAAAACGGACCTGCCTGTCATAACCTTGTTTATACCTTACATTGTTTCTACCAATGTTACCTCTGGCCATCTTGTATGCATAGTTTAGTCTTTTCTTCAGCTTCTGTGCATAATTCTCCCTACTTCTGGTCTTTTGTGGTGTTTCTTCCAATCCAAGATATGCATCGATCGCTAATCTAGGGTTCCACCCAAACATCAGGTAATGCGGCGAAAATCCCGTTGTCTCGTGCTTGGTTGAATTGTAGGCGTTAACTAAAGGTAAAACGTACGTTTTCCAATCGTGCTTCTGTTCACTGTCTAACGTCCCTAACATCTTCAGCAATGTCTGGTTGAACCTTTCAACTTGCCCATTTCCCATAGGGTGGTATGGAGTTGTTCTGCTCTTCTTTACTCCAGCAATCTTACAGAGTTCCTTGATAACTGAACTTTCAAAGTTCCTACCCTGGTCCGAATGTATACGCTCAGGGAAACTGTAATGGCAGATGAAATGTTCGTAAAGTACCTTAGCCGTAGTAGATGCTAATTGGTTCCTTGTCGGAACAGCCACTGCATACCTCGTAAAGTGGTCAGTAATGACTAGTATGTTCTCATACCCACCTTTAGATTTCTCAAGAGTCAGAAAGTCCATACAAACCAGTTCCATAGGTCTTGATGTAAAAATGGAAACCAATCCTGTCCTTGGTACTTCTCTCGTCTTAAACCTCACACACCTGTCACAGTTCTCTACCTTTTCCACTACATCTGTATACATGTTTGGCCAGTAGAATCTCTGCTGTACCAACCAGTACGTTCGGTCTCGTCCTTGGTGACCCATATCCTCATGAAGTCCTATGAGTACACTGTCTTTATACTTACTTGGTAAAACTAACTGACGTATCTCCTCTCCAGCAACAGTAGTTTTTCTAAACAAGATTCCTCTTTCAATCACCAGTTGCTTCCATTCCCTTAAGAGTAACTTGACTGAATTTGATTCCTCTTGTAGGTCTTTTCCAGTTGGTTTGATTCGTCCTCGAAGTAGATCCTTGACCCTACTAATAACAGAATCATTACCTTGTTCCAGTTCCCAATTCACAGTGCTTAGTTTCTGTGATGTCTCAGCTCTCTCAGCATTGTCAGGCTCTAGTGACTTACCAATAACACAACTCTCTGCTAGAGGATTTACCTTTACCAATGCTGCCTGAGAAATAGCTTTAACCACATCTGAAAACAGTTCTTGTTTAGGGGGATTTCTTGATAACCCATCAGCGTCTCTGTTGAGCTTACCTGATCTGTAAGTTATCTTAAAATCATATGCTGATAATGATGCCAACCAGCGATGTGATGTTGCGTCAAGTTTGGCTGTTGTGGTGACATACGTAAGAGGATTATTGTCTGTCCTTACATCAAAATGATTGCCATACAAATAATCATGATATTTATCTACAACAGCCCATTTCAAACACAGAAATTCAAGCTTATGTGCTGGATAATGTTTCTCAGATTGCCGTAAACCCCTACTTGCATATGCAATAACACGCTCCTTACCATCCTGCTCTTGATATAGAACTGCCCCTAAACCATTAACACTTGCATCTATATTCAATATAAATGGCTTAGAAAAATTGGCAAAAGCAAGAATAGGAGGATGTGTAAGCTTCTGAATTATGAGCTCAAAAGATTGTTGTTCAGACTCACCCCATTTCCACTCAACTTTCTTTCTCTTTCTGTTTTTCTTTGTCGCTTTGTTGGTAGGCTGTCCTATCAACAGATCATTCAAGGGCTTCACAATTCTTGCGTAGTCTTTAATGAATCTGCGATAATACCCTGTAAACCCTAAGAAAGATCTTAATGACTTTACATTACATGGAACAGGCCAATTTTCTAAAGCTGATGTTTTCTCTGGATCAGTCATAATCCCTTTCTCAGAAACTACATGACCCAAATAGCGAACTTGACTTTTGAAGAATTCACATTTCTTTGGATTCAATTTTAACTTGTAGTCATGCAATCTCTGAAAAACTGATTCCAACCTCACCAGATGTTCCTGAAATGTACTCGAGAAAATTAGAATATCATCGAGAAAAAGTAAACATTCTTTTAGGTTCATATCACCCATACACATTTCCATTAGTCTTTGGAATGTCGCAGGAGCGTTGGTGAGACCAAACGGCATCCTGTTACATTCAAAGAACCCTAATGGTCCTACCGTAAAGGCTGTCTTTTTCTTGTCTTCCTCACGAATCTCGACCTGCCAGTAGCCTGACTTTAAATCTAATTTACTGAAATACCTTGATCCGTCTAATCTATCTAAAGTGTCCTCTATTCTGGGTAGAGTATACGCATCCTTGATAGTCCTGTTGTTAAGCTTCCTCAGGTCTATACAAAATCTCAAGGATCCGTCTGACTTTCTACATAGAACCACGTTAGAACAGTAGGGACTGCTCGACTTCCTGATGGCCCCTGCCTCCAACATCTCTTTCAATGTCTGCCTAACTTCTTCAATCATACCAGGGGGAATGCGTCTATATGGTTCCTTGAAAGGTATTTCTGTGGTTAGGTTTATCTCATGTTTGACCACATCTGTCCTCCCTAGGTCTGTAGGAGATGTAGAGAATAAGTGTTGCCATTTTCCAATAGTATGCAAAGCTTCTCTTACCTCCCCCTTAGAGAGTTTGTCAGTGTTGACCTTCACCCCTAAATCTGCTAATGATCTGGTAGTGGAATCCTTTTTCTTGACTGGTTTGGTCTCTGCATGTTGTGGATTCCAGGTGTGTACTACTCTTACCTGACTCACACTACAGATGTTTGTCTTGGGTGGTATCTTAACAGCACTAGCCGAGATATTACATACCTTAACTGTGACCCTTTTGTTTTTTCCTGTACTACTGGACGCTACCAGTCGAGGGCATACTACCACTCCTGCCTGACTGTTCTCCAGCTGTTCTGTTATTAAAGTCTTCACTGTTCCTTCCATGTTTCTTACCATTCCTCTAATGTATTTCACTTCATTGGGAGCTAAATGTATAGGATATTTATTAGTTGTCTTAACAGGTACACAGCAATTAACACACATAGTGTTAATAGCCGTTTGCCATGCTTCTTCACACTCACCTGTAAAATCTACACAAAGTCTAATAACATTTGTCCCAATAATAACCGGAACTCTACTATTGAAGCTTGAATCCCGAGTTATTAACGCTGGAATAAATAATGGTTCTTGCATGAATGGAACTTCAATTTCTGCTTCTACATAACCCAAATAGGGCAAACTGTCCCCATTTGCACCATAAACATCTAATTTAAATTCAGATATTTCATGTAGACTTGGTTTGTTCTCCAGAGAATTATAAAATGACTCTGAAATGGTTGTAACCATCGAACCACTATCTATCAGACTTGAAACCTTTTTCCCACAAATTTTGACATATGCTTCATTTGTTGGACCTATCATCCTATCCTGTAACTCTTTAGGGCATAAATCAGTACTCTCTTCCGTTCGCCCCACAACAGAAGAGATTACTCTTTTGGGTAACCTTGATTTGATTGATCTGTGTACTTACCCCTGTTAGACCAACCTCTACCTCTACTTTGGCCTCTGTAAAATCCTCTTTGTGAGGACCTTCCTCTCCCCACAAACTGAAAATTGTTTACATTACCTTGTTTCTTTTCCAAGTTTTCCAGTCTTCTCTCAATACCTTTAATCGCTTTGAGAAGTTCTTGATTTGTTGTATCTCTGCTAGCTTCTGTTGATCTGCTATGGAGAGCTGCAGACTTGGCATCTTTGTTCACAGTCTCCATGTTGATCTCTTCTTGCTCTACTTTCCTGATTTCTCTGAGCAAAACCTGAAATTCTGTTATATTTGCGTAGATATATCTAGTAGAATTTCTTAATGACTTACTTCTCAATCCAGTCCAAAATTTACTACATAGCATTGTATCTTTTGCAATGTCATCTATGTGACCCTGTTTGATTGCCTTACATAGTGTAGATTCTAACCTAGAACCATAAGCCACAATACTCTCATTCTCTTTCTGACAGTCATTATAGAACTGTTGCATTAAAGTTTCACTACTACTTACCATTCCATAAAACCCTTCTAATTTCTCCAAAATTTGACTCGTTGTAGCTGATTCACCGAGTGAAATCAGCATTGACCTTGCAGTTCCCTTGAGGGAATTTCTAATTGTCTGAAGTAATACAGCATCAGGCAACACCTGTGAATTTCTAAGGCACCTTACCTCGAAACTCCAGACTTCATAGGTCACTTCCCCTTTTTGAAGTTCCTCACTGCCACTAAATGTCGGAAGCTTTGGAGTCGTATTGAAATTACTCTGCAAAGTTGACATATTGAATGAGGGGTTTAATGCAGGTTGAAATTTACCTGGTATTGGAGAACTTGGAAATGGAAAACCTTTTCCTGGACCTGTCAGAGGTGTACTGGCCTTCATAGCCATTAAATACTCATACTCTTCCTTTGTGATGACTTTATATTTTGGGTCAATCTTACCTACATCATGTATGAGCTTTTCTTGATCTTTTTCGCCCTTTTCAATCTCTTCTTCCCAGGACTCATGATCTGATGCTTTCTCTCCACCTGTAGCCATTGTTATAATAAACACTGTTGTGACTAGAAAAGTAAAGCAGATCTTCATAGATTATACAATCAAGTTCAATGTAATAAACCCTGTAAAAAAATAATCTACAAAGTTATATCTCAAACTAATGATCAATACCACTACATTTTTCTAACTTTGTCACTTACACTTCAAGTATCAGTATAACTTTCCACGAATCCTGTAATTCTCTAGATAAAGATCGAGCCTAAATTCTCTAAATCTTGCTCTAAATAACTACACTAATAAATCTTAAATCTACATCTATAATAATGATGGGGTATGAAATAATGAGTTTGATGAATCCTGAAACACAAAGATGATCAACACAAAGATGACACTCAACACAACCTCCAGAACGCAAAACCTGTCAACACTGAAACTTGTAAATTTAAACCAAATTGATTATTCTGAAACAAAAATAGAGTAAGGTTCTGTCTCACAAATATTTCTCTCTGCTTTTTCACACCAATTTAATACCAAGTGCAAATAAAATGTTAGTAGAGAAGATAAGTCTCTGTACTATGTCTTACTATAAATCCCACTGATTTACCTACTTTCCTTGACTTTTTTTCAATTATTTAGGAATTTTAAATTTTTTTGAGGCTGTTTTAACACTCAATCGCAATACTGTCTCACATGGATGAATTATACAATCAAATGACAAATGAAACAAGCAAATTCAAGGAATTGTGGTCCCCCGCTTTCAGTGCCATTGTGGGTGAGATGTCATTTTTTTCATGACGTATTGTGTGTAATATGAACACCCTATCATATGTCATTTATTCACTGAACCCAAGGTCAAGGTCAAAGGGTTAAAGTTCTTGGTATCCAATGTAAAGTCTTCTCATAAGGATTACATATTTGAAGTATGAAAGCCCTAGTCCTTACCATTCAAAAGTTATAGTCAAGGTTTTTAAGTTTTTTATTAGTACAAAAAATGTCCAAGGTCAAGGTCAAAAGGTCAAGGTTGTTGGTATCAAATGAAAGGTCTTGCAAAAAAAAAAAATGCATATGAGAAATATGAAAGTCCCAGTTCTACTGTTCCAAAGTTGTGGCCAAGGTAAAAGTTTTTGAAAAGTAGGTCAGACTCCAAGGTCAAGACCAAAGGATCAAAGTTCTTGGTATTTAATGAAAGGTCTTCTCACAAGGATTACAAATGTGAAGTATGAAAGCCCTAGCCCCTACCATTCAAAAGTTTTGGTCAAAGTTAAAGTTTTTTCATAAGTACATAAATTTCCAAGGTCAAGGTCAAAAGGTCAAAGTTGTTGGTATCCAATGAAAGGTCTTGCTACAAACAATACATATGTGAAATATAAAAGTCCTAGTACCTACCATTCAAAAGATGTAACCAAGGTTATAGTTTTTAAAAAAGTAGGTCAAACTTCAAGGTCAAGGTCAAAGGATCAAAGTTCGTGGTATCTAATGAAAGTTCTTTTCTAAAGCATTACATACATGAAGTATGAAATCCTTAGCCCTTACCATTCAAAAGTTTTGGTCAAAGTTAAAGTTTTTTCATAAGTACATAAATCTCCAAGGTCAAGGTCAAAAGGTCAAAGTTGTTGGTATCCAATGAAAGGTCTTGCTACAAACAATATATACCGGAAATATAAAAGTCCTAGTACCTACCATTCAAAAATTATGGCCAAAGTAAAAGTTTGGAATTTTTGTGTAAAAGTGGATCAAACTCCAAGGTCAAGGTCAAAAGGTCAAATTTAGTGGTACCCAAAGAAAGGTAATGTCACAAGGAATACACATGTGAAATATGAAAGTCATAGCTCCACTAAATCAAAAGTTATGGGCAAGGTTAAAGTTTTTGTGACGGACGGACAGACTGACAGACTGACGGACAGACAGACGGAGAGAGGGACAGACGGACAGACGGACAGACGAATGAGATTTAATGTCCCCTCGCTTTCGCGAAAGCGGGGGACAACAAATATTACATACAAAACAACAATAATCTACAAAGTGAAAGTAGAAATGTTTAAAAATAGAACATCTGACACACAGTCAACAGCAGTCAAATACCAAAGTCCACCACGATTTCCAGGTCGTCCAAGAATAGGCCGCGTCTATCCGTTTATAGGAATCGTTCAGCACACACAGTTCTTGGCACGAATGTTAATTAAATGGATAATCCACCAAAACATCGCTCGTCTCGGCCACATGAGGTATCCATGAATGGTTGTGACGTCACACTGCTTACTCGAAGCGCTCAGTGTAAAAGTAGTCCCTGTGTAGCTCGTAACTGCCGACACGGGTGTTCAGTGTTTCCAGCGCTGAATTTCTCAGGATTGAATGGATATCACATAGAGCTCTGTTTCATATATGCACACTGAAGATAAATTTTCACAAATTTTCACAACACAAAAGCACTTCACTTGTTCTCTGAAAACCGCTTACTTGTAGTTCGTATAAAATCTTGTAGAAATGGCCTGGTCACCTTTAACAGTTCAAAGACGTTCTTCTTAGGATTCAGCCTGGTTCCTAAGTTAAACCAGCGTTGGGCGCCATTGTCACGGGTCTCCCGATCTCAGGGAATAATAATAATTCAACACAGTTCCTCAATAAAGGTTCATATATTTATTAGCTGACAATTACGATGATGAAGTATAAACGAACGTACGAATGAAGGTGACCTGCAATGAAAATGACACACTCGTACAAATTCACACACACTAATATTTATTTAATTTCAATAGTTTAAAATAAGAATAAGACTTAATATTAATTCTTACCAGTCACATCAATTAAGGCACTAAGATTCCGTAAGGAATTTCTTAGACAAACTGCTCACGTGGATTTCTCGCAGGAGAACATCCAAACTATCGTCAATGTATCGTCAATATTAAAAAGGAATAGTCCGTGCATAAGTATATATACCAGGACTCACACATGTGTACATAACTACCACACCCCATACATACTGGTTTTACAACTCACACCCAGGATAAAAATAAACCACAAGACAATCACGTGACAACCAAACACTCACGTGAGACGGAACACCGGACAAACCAGAATACAATACAAACACGATGACAATGAATGACCAGGTATGAATGAATGAATGAAAGGAATTTACTACAGCTATCTACTATACTGACTTACTATACCAGCTGTACTAAATAATTAAACTAAATAAAATAAAAACAAGTAATTGTCACCCTGTGACAATCATGTTATATAAGTGCTGTCAGAACATTGAATCCATTGCTACACATACCGATATATGTATATGACATTATTATTTATGCCTGTTGCTATACATCTGTAGTGGTGGGGAAGCTGTTACAGATAACTATGCCATTTTAAAAGACTGGATAGATACAGTGTGTTTTATGTTTATCTTGTTGAAAATTAAATCAGAGTGAGATTGAGTAAGAAAATCTCTTTACAGACTGGACATTATGGAAGGAATGCTTTCTGTTGACTTTGTCCTCAGAAGCCAAGTTTTTGTCATGCAGTGAGATTTTTAAATATTTTTTCAGTGTGCAGACTTCACTATAAAGCCATATTATATTTTACAATTGGTCTACATTTTCAATTCTTGCCTGTCTTATTTCATAACCTTCACACCGGTTTTTTCCTACTCGCAATTTTGAAATACAAATACTATTCAAGTATGATAATTTTATTGACAGCAATTATTAGAAGTACAAAAATACATCTCTTACACATAAAAAATTATCCAGGGAGATTGAATAATCCAGGAGTTTAATTTTAAAGGTTTCATATAATGAATGAAAGTGGAGACTCTACTATCCTATAATTAGGTCTTTCCACCTTTCCGTGGAAAGACCTATTGAAATTGTTCTGTTTATTAGGTCTTTCCACCTTTCCGTTGAAAGACCTATTGGTATTCTTCTGTTTCTTATTCTTCT